ATATGTACCTACCTGCCTATTAACTTTCGTTCGAATCATTATTAATTAGTCCCAATAGTTATTACGGTTGTTATCTATACAGTATACATACATTGTATAGGTATTCATTATATTTGTTAATTTTTACATCCTGTATGTGTAGGCATTCGCTCCGTGTCCGAATATAATATATAATATTATTATGTATATAAATATTTTAATTATATGCGTAAGACATATTATAGTATAGGCGCGTTCGAACATCACATTTTATTTCTGATTCAAACGCATACATCTTTTTCACGGACAACCATGACAAGTTGTATACAAGTCGACGACAGTTGTCATATTATCCTATTGGTGCATTCCGCTGCAGGATTAATGGGTTATTTATTATTATATATATATACTCGTTTGAATTGTATGAACTCTTTCTCTTTCTCTCTCTCTCTCTCTCTCTCTAATATATATATATAATATATATTATACAACATACATATTATAATACTAATATAGATATTATCTGCAGTGTATTTATTACAAACGGCACACTGCAGGCGGAGGCGTAATTATGGGGGACTTTTTATTAGGACGTTTATTAAGGGGACTCGTTTTAACCCCCTCCCTTATTTAAAACCTCCCCACTAGACTATCAAGACCTTGTGCGTGTTATGCACATAAAATTATACAATCATTATATAATACAACAACAGATGACTCGCAGTACAGGGTATGTTGTAGRCTAACTCGGCTTTGCAATATTGGAATATTAATAATATTACCCATCAATCAACACTCTACCACCTCAATTAAATATTCTTAAATACTAAAATACACCTCTGAAGTGACCGGCCCCTTTGACTACATGCCTGCTGCAGTCGTCACATGCGAATGGCTACTATAGTCATACACCTCTTAGAAAAACAATATTATACATTCATAATACATATTAACATTCATAATATTAAGATCGTAATTAAATGATTCTTATATAAAATTGTTTAGTACATATTCTAAAGTATTTTTGAAAATAATTTAATATTTAGGTATATGGACGTATGGTAATCGGAAAAAAATCCCCAAAGCAACTATTTAGTATTTAAATTATAACTATAAAAATAATATTATTATATAGGTATCCCAAAGTTACATGAACACAAAATCGGTTATTCTGACATTTAGACAAACAATGTTCAATAAATATATGTTCAATACCGGATAAAAATTATTTCAGTAAACCCTTTCTACAACGGACCCTCTATATCAAACGAAATTTACCTTAAAACGGAAAATGTCAATAGTCCAGGTGAAAACAGTATATGCAATTTCTACCTCTCTATGACGGAAAACTCTTTATAACGGAAATATGTTTGGTCCCAACTYCCAAGCGAATCCGTTACAGAGAGGTTTTACTGCAGTACCTATATCGATAAGACGGATTATAGAGTATAGACGATTAACCTCAAAATTTTTTGACAGTTGTGTTTAACAATATAAGAAAACTGAAAAGTAACCGACTGAACCTAATCTGACAATAATATTATACTAAAATTAAATATATATTTTTATTATAAATTAACAAACTCTTATTATATAATGTTTTTATTAGTTTATTTGGGGATTTTTTTCTTGGAGATTTTCTTTTCGTGGATTTTTATCCCGGGATTCATATAGGTATATATCGTACATATACCTAACTATAATGGATACATATTATAGTGTTACAAAATGAGCCATTAACATAAATTATTATAATATAACACAACATATATTAAAGCGTCGAAATCGTATGATTTATTACTTAATGAGTTATACCTTATACGTATATTATTTGACTCCTTATCGTAAAGAATCAGTGACCGATCGCTGTGGGTCGGCTGAAAGGGTGCTGGTCCTGTAGATTCTAATTGAGGAAACAATTAATCCCCCATATAATGTCGGTGTTATCTATTTCAGCGCCTAAATAAATAGGTTAGGTGATGCCGTTGCACTTGGAAAAGTTACACCCTGCACGGCTGCACCCTAACATAATAATATACTTGTAATACACCAGTTTAAAGCAAACGTCTCATATTATCGTATTAATAGTTTATAATACCACTGCTGCAGGCACGAAAGAACAGTCGTTCGCGTACGCGCTCAGCTCGGCCGCGCTGACATACACAATGACCAGGGACTGCGCGTCCGGAATGTTGCCGAGCTGCGGGTGCGGCACTCATCCGGAAGACACGGACGGCACGTTCAAGTGGAGCGGGTGCGACGACAATGTCCGGTGGGGCGCCAAGTTCGCCAGACAGTTCGTGAAGAACGTAAACCCTTTGGCGGCGGTGGCGTCGGGCGAACACAATAGCGACGAGGATGTCGACGACGACCTGTCGGCCAACGCCAATGAAGATGCGGTACGGCGCGAACAGAGAGCCATGTCTATTGTCGACGAACACAATTACAAAATAGGCCGAAAAGTAAGACAGCACTTAATACTTTGTAGTTTGTGTACGCGTACGTTGTACACGAAACCGCATAGGTATATGGTATTGTTGTATAGGTACCTACCTATACCTATATACCTAGTAATATAAACTAAAGTAACTAAAGGATATATACCTTAGTAGTGGCGCCAGGCGTCGCCAGAAAATGTTAACAGCAGGGGATGTTCAAGAAGGTTAGATCCATTTCAAATTACGTAAATTATTCCATCTGTGATTTAGGTGACAAAAGAGGTGCCGCAATACCATAMCAATAACCCTATCCACCCTGAATTCACGCCTAGGTATAGGTGACATTTGTTTGTAAACCATCATAAAAAAAAAATTCTGATCTCACCAAACTCACCTCAAAATAAGTATGTCGCCATTTATTTATACCATAATAATACGACGTACATTATTTGTGTGTAAATTATACATAATACATGCGCAATATTTTTGGGTAGATATTATACATAGAAAACATTTTTTTTTTTCTACTGATATTATGGAAAATTCAAATCCCAATGTGACAACTAGGTACATGGCTCCACGGAAGTACAGGACACCCACTCAATAAAAATACTCAGGATCATTTATCACACTTGGTAGTCAATATCGGCACGACTGGACCAATGACCAATGTATTTAACCACACTTCATATATTCCATAATCCATAAATATAATATGTTGGGCGAACACCGTCTAATGTTGCCACTCTCATCACTAGACAGTGGATAGTACCTATAGCTATATTATATATATATATAATTCTTTAGTACGTCTTTAGATACTTAAACTCYTCCTGGAGCAAGTTTAATGAATATTTTTGTGTGTGTTTGAGTGATTCGATACCKGGATTGTTTAAATTCACAAAACTGTACCAGACAGGTTAAACCAGAAAGGGGCTTAAACGGGGATTTTGAAATCTAAGATGGACATTTTTGTTTTGAGTGGTTGCTATTATTACAAGAGAAATAATTTGTGAAAGTTTAAATTTTTTTGCATGTATAAATGATTGCTGTTGATTACTCGGACAAGTGTGCTAAGAGCACGCATCAAATCCTTACCTATAACTTATATATGTTTATGGTTTCGAATACAGAAATTAAATACCTATCTAGAACAAATATTATATAAACTTGACCGATTTTGTGAAAGTTTCAAATTATCAAGTAATTGTAAAGAGTAGTTTTAACCACTACACGTTCGATGGATATACCAAGACAAGTGCTATAAATCCACCAAAAGTGAATTGTCCATCTTGATCGTATCAGTCCACGAAGCATTGTACACAGTACATACACCGATACAAATTTGCCTGTGAAGTGAAGTACACTACTGCAACCAAGATACACTTAGGGACTATAATATCTATATTTTGTATTTTTCACGGGTGAAGTTGGCGAAGGTTATATCAACAATTAAAATTGGATATTTGTTCGTCTTAAGTCAATAGTATTAAAAACAACTGAACCTTTTTCATTGAAAACTTTTCAATAACAGTTACATCAATAGATTATTTAAAACTTAGAGGGTGTTTCTAGCTTTTTTTTTCAACTCCTATATATCTAGCTAAAGGGTAGCTCGCAGTGCTCACACATGATTTTTTTCCAGCCTACAAAAAAAAAAAATGTTTGTTTATCTAAATGGTTGTAATTGGTTACATTATATAATATTGCTATTATAATAAATTATAAGAAATATGGTATATACATTTCAAAAAAAAATCTATTAAAATTACAAATCTGTGGTCCACACGACGTCTAGGCAGTATTACCTATATATATATATATATAATATATATATGTATATGTTAATCATGATCAAGTTCAGTTCACTTCTCTGCTCAAATAAAACCTTGAAAAGTCTGTTTCAAGTGACTGAGTACATATATATATTTCATTTTCAACCATCGCTATCATTTATAGTAGGWATGCATCCATAGGGCCCAACTCTCCGCGTTTTGGATTGACAAGAGATCTACCTCAGCAGATATACAGATCGAATAGTTATCCCATACGGCCGTATGCCTATATAGTACGTTGGGCAAATGTATATTAGACGAGTATGGGTATGTAGGCACTTGAAAATCGTTGAATCTAAATAGTATATACCAATAATAGTATCTTAGCACCTGTTTTTATCAATCGATATCTCAATTCTAAAATACATAATTAACATTTAAGATTTTAACCTTTATCATTCTATAGCAGAAGTATTTAAACTGTGCGTCGCGGCTCCCATTAGGGGCGTCGCGTGAGTTGTCGAAGGGAAACGCATCAGAACACCGCCGAGACTAAAATGTATGTAGGTTCATAACTCATATAATATATAATTAATATGAAAGCGATTGTGATGGCAATTATATCAAAACACATAACGAAACTGTTTTAAGTTTATTTCTTGTTCCAGTCATTATTTTATAACACTTTATGTCAGTCATAACTCATAGGTATTGTACGTACCCGTGTGATTAAATTTTTCCATAATAATTTGACAGCCATAAAAATGTTGCGAACACACTAAGGAGCCACGGAATGAAAGAATTTGAACACCTCTGATAGTCCGCCTAGTCTGTGCAGTTTATTCGTTTCATTGTACCTATACATATTATGTATTGTTTTGTGTTGAACGAAAATCGACTCCAAAAATAAAATTTTAAACCAAGTACCTACCTAGTTACCTACACTAGTTATAGCAATATTGAATACTAATAAAGTTTAATGAAACCAATAATGTATCTGGCCTCTGGAACGCTTGCATATGTAACAGGTGTAGGTACCTAAGTCTGTTTTATTGGACGTCGATATCGTTGATACACTGACGAGAGCAGAAATAATGGCTTAGAACTTTTACTTATGTCCACGGACCAACCGCAAAAAAAACTACTGTAACTATATCGTACCCCATAGAATATAGATAAATGTTAATCGTGCACAATGGACCGTGCGTGTAGGCCTCGCGACGGACGAGAACCTGCRGAAGAATGCAGGCGCGGCRGCGGCGCGTTTCGCAAGGGGATCGTGTTGCAGCAACTTCTGTTATTTAATTTTTTTTYTTTCAGGTGGTCATGTCAAGTGTGAAAACCCATTGCAAATGTCACGGCATGTCGGGATCGTGTAACTTGAAAACGTGTTGGAGAGGTTTGCCGAACAAATTTATTGGGGTRGGCATTAAGCTGTTGAAACTGTACAATAAAACACCGTTGAAAGTGGAAATGGTTCAAGTCATTCGTTTCGGACTTCCAAAACACTCGGACAGTTCATTAGTTTATATGACCGAATCTTCAGATTATTGTAATTATGACCAGAGATTAGGCAGTTCAGGAACAGTTGGCAGGTGTGAAATGCAAAAGATTTGTAAACATTTATTTATACTTTGAATTGTATTAATATATTTTTTTGTCCACCTTAGGAAGTGTAATTCCACAACAATTGGTACAGAAAATTGTCTTTCCATGTGCTGCGGCCGAGGCTACACTACGCAAATTATTGAACAGACTGAACGCTGTCAATGCAAATACCATTGGTGCTGTTATGTGAATTGTCAAAACTGTACTAGCCTAGTAAAGAGGCAAATATGTAATTAATTGTAATGATTCATATATATATATATATTTGAAATTTTATATTGTGAAAGAACGTTTTTAGTTATTTTTAAAATCATGTGGTAATTAATAAACAAAATAAATACAAATAGAAAAAGTTTTACACAATTAAAATAAATGTAATATCTTTTTTTTAAATGCATCATTCCTAAACAAATTATATAATCAAAAATGTAATTAACAAATATTGTTAAAATTATTGGACAATAAATTGATGGCTTCAATAGATACAAAATAAATAGACATATTATCATAATAAAACTGGAGATCATTTGATTTGTATGCAACAGTTTTCAAATATAAATCCATTATAATTCTGTGTGTGATTCTGGTCCTGAAACAAGAAAAAAATATGTTTTAAAAACTATTGAATATAATATGCAATCAAAAAAATTTTTTTTTAGAATCATCTTATTGCATAGTTGGCCACCAGCCCAAAAATGCGGCTGGGGTCCCTTCATTTTTTCCAGAATAAAATAATTTTTTTTATTTATTTGTCGTGTCTGGTCTATCTAGGTAAATCTATTCCTGTAAAGTATTTATGAAAATATTAAACCGTGCGTAATTTTTATGCMATTTTTTTCTTTACAGGGTATAGGTCTGTTCTCAGAATTGTTGGGCATTTGTATTGCATTATGGTACCCCTTAAAGAAACTGATCAACGGGCTTTAGATGTGCAGTGGGGCAAATAGGAAAAATGTTTAGGGGGGCTCAAGCCCCAACACATTTTTTTTAAATTATAATTTATAAGTACATACTTTTAAAAATGGTATCTGTATTTATTCAATTCTAAAAGTAGTTTAGTATCATACATAGTAGGTACATTAATATATATATTATATAACATGAAATATTTATTCAAATGAATAGATATATTTAATGTAATTGTATACACCTCTCGGTTTTTTCAAAAATATTTAATATGCTTTATTTGCTATTTTACTACTTTATTATTACAAAAGCTGCCTAGTTAACATTTTGATAAGATTGAGAGAATGTCATACCCAAATGTGTTGCATTTGTCCTACCAATGAATAATATACGAGAATAGCGTCCTCATAATATAGTAAWGAAACATTTCAGCCGCAACCAATAGTCAGAAATAAAAGCTGATAATGAAAACTGATTTATTAAGGAAAGCGGTTTGACCAAACAAAATAATATCACATGAGATTACTCTTAGTAGTAAGCATTTTTGTTTATCTTCATACAATTACAAAAGTAAGTTACCTTTTGATTGAGTTTCAATATTGAAAACTTTATCTTCGTGTTCACTTTGCTTAATTTGTAATCTTTTAATTTCATTATCATAATCCTTCCATTCACTAACAATTCTCATTGCTGCTGTCAACTTAGCTTCTTTAGTTAATGGATTATTACACTAACATTTTAATAAAAACCAATGTATTAAAAATAATTTTTACATTTATAAAAGAAAGATTTGCAAAAATATTAATACTTACAAGATCAATAGTTTTGGCTGATTTTTTAGATGCATCATCACACCAGGTTTCACACCAAAGCCATTCTTGTGGCAAACTCTTAATAGAAACTTGGTGAATCATGTTATTAGGCAAATMCTTTGAAAATATAACAATTAAGGTTCCATACTTTATTTTATTATTATTTTTTATCTTACCTGATCTAAATTCGATAAACTGTTTGGATCTTGACTAAGAGCTTGGTATTGACCCCTTAATCTATCACCAGCTGCTACTTTTCTAAAGCGTTTCAAATCTACTACATACAATGCACTGATATGATAACGACGACCTTGTAGATGAGTTTTCMAGTAGCCTTGTTTCCAAAATCTTTAGACAAAAATGCAGTTTTAAATGAAATTTAATATTTTTTTTAGACAAAACTAACCTGAAGCCATCCATTTCCTTACGACTTTCACAAAATGGAGTATATGCATATGGTGCACCACCTAAATCTAAGTCAACTAATTCCTTCATATCAGCTCGGACTACTTGATCAGCATCAACAAATATAATTTTTTTAACATCCAATGGAAAAAGGACATCCAAAAACAATATTTTATAACCCCATATAGTCCTCTGTTTCTCTGTTTGTTGATGGAGCCAACGAGGCCATTTATACTCAACCAGTTCATATTGAAATTTGTATTCTTGAGCCATAATAGGAAGAAAGTTCTAAAATAAAAAAAGAATACATCAATAATAATCATTAATTATAAAATAATTATAAATTCACAAAATAAAATAATATACCTTAAAAGTTGGGGAAAGATAATTTTTAAGAAACCAGAATTTTACTGGAGATTTAGTATTTTTTAACACACTCAACATCATTATTCTTAAAAATCGTTCATATAAATGGCCTGAAGCGACAGAAAATATGTTGATAGTTTCATCAGTTGATTTATCAGGTGAACCTGAGCTGAAAGAACTGTGAAATAATGAATAATAGGTAATGTAATAACTAATAATATAACATAATATTTAAAAACATATAATATATTAGGACAAATAGAAATCTAAGRTACCCAACAGTAAATTTAGCTAAAAAAATTAGCATTTTATGAAAAGTATATTTTTGGTTTGTAAATGATTTAGTTTWATATTCGATCATAGTGCAAACTGCATTGCAAACATATTTTTACCAAATTGGTTATTTTTAATAAAATAATTTTGAATCTTCCATAGACTATGTTAAAGTTTCTTAAAAGACTTGGTTTATGCTCAAGTCCGACAGCCCTCTTTATAATATTATAATATAAGATCTAAGACTAAATTAATCTCATAAAACATAATAATACATTCAAATTTAATGAGTTCATTGTGATTTGCAACAAGCAAATGAGTAAATTGACACAGTCTTAAAAGAGAAGTTTTGAGAAAGATATTGAGACTTAAATGAAAAACCGTTCGAGATTTGAACCCACGACTCACGCGCCGGACTGGCAGCTGTGTAATGAGCCACTGTGATCTTATCATTTTAACTTAGGTAGCAGTGTGTTCGGTTGAGGAAAGTGTAGACGAGTTATTGCTATCGTGCTTGTACTTAAGTACTTACTTGATGCATACCGTGTCATACTCTCACCCCAAATCAAACATGCGGGCACCACCGGTTTGRTAAGTACTCATTAGAAGATTATTCTAAACTATAAATACCAGCATGAGAATATGATGAGTGTTGACTGTATACAAATCATAAWCTACATTCACTCATCACCATGTGTAAAAAAATTTAATGTTCAATTTTATTCACCTGGTAATTGAATTCCAAAGACCTTTGTTTTCAGCATCATCATCACCCAAGACATTTAAATTCTGTTTGCCAGGTTTTTTGGCAACTTTGACTTTTATTATGTGAGAACGAAAAGAACTGATTAGTACTTTGATATCCATACTATTAGGAGAACGGTCGGATCCTTCATGAGAAATAATATCATAAATATCAGCTGAAGGGCCTTGACGAAGTCTTAACATCCAAGCCCCTGGGTTAGCTTTCATTTGGAAATAACCCAAGTTAGCCATAACTATTGTATCTACCACTACTGGATTTGACTTTGTTCCTAATGTCATTTGAAGACCACGAGGTGGATTCATGTTGACTGAATCATAACAATGACCCTCGAGCAGCAAATACTCTAATTCATACCGACTAAATAAATAAAATAATGAAAACATTGAAATAATAGTTTATCATTAAGTGGTTATGATTAGTTTTACATACCTATAAACACCCATTTCAACATCTTCAAGTCGAATGTTRTCAAGATCRTATGGAGATTCAATAGATTCAACTAACCAATTATCAGGTACATGAAGTATTTGTGTTAATAATGGACTAGTAGGCATATTAGAAAACTTTGCTATTGGATCAGGGGATAAATGACCAGATTTATCAAAAATGACTTCAGGCTCAAGCACAAAACGATAAAAACTGAAATATTATAAAATGCATCAAAACAAGTGCATTAAAGACTATATTATATTTCTTACCTTTTAACAGGCATATCACTGTTTTTATCAACACAATTCAAATACACATTTATATTAGCATTGAGTACTGTTGATAATACAGAAATAATAGATCCAACCTTTTGAGCACCTCTAGACACAGGGTCAACAATAACATTGATTTCGAAAACTGGTTCATCTTCATTGTTGGCACTTAATTTAATAACACTTCATAAAAAAAAAAGTATTAAACAAATTGTCATTTTTTATAAATACTTAGTATGGATTTCATTGTTATACTGTATTACAATAAGCTATAAGATGCTACAAATATTATAATATTTTACCTGTGTTTAGTAGAAACGTCAGGAATAGAATGTCGATTTTTAGTTTGAGAGCGGCTATTGATTAAGGCACTTGCTTTCATTATCATATCACTTGTAATATTTGTTAGATCTATAAATAATATAACCTAGTTAAATTAAATTTAAAAGAAACATTTAATRTGGTAAGTCAAATATCAAGTTTTAATTCAAAAAATAACTTTATTATTTTTAAGCTTATTAATGGCAAGAACAACTAGAAAGTTTATATTTCAAGTAGATGATTCATAAGTTCTTAAGTTTTAACATACCTGAGTCTTCAAGTATATTAAGAATTTTGTTTACACTGCCTTTTAGCGTATGYTGTTCTAATAAAGCAAAATCATCAGTTAAAAAATCTTCATCTTCATCAAATGGACCCAAAATACGTCCATTAGTGATTACACCACATTGTCCACTTTCAAAATTCAAAGCTTCAAAAGCAAAGTTTCTATATAATTGTATATCTATTTTTGACACATCAAAATGTATCTCTTCCTATCAAAAATTAATTTAATATTAAT